ATCCCCCCCCCAAACCTTTCCATCTACCCAAACCTCTCCCTTCCCACATACCTCCTCACCGATATAAAAAGAAGCGCACCAAGTACTCGTACCCACAAAATCAACAGAGACGCCGCTAATTATCGTATCTTTATCTTCTTCTCATCTCATCACATCACATTTCCTTTCTACGCTAGTATAAATGCTAAACCTCTAGACTAGATCTTTAGAACCTACCTATTACCTACCTACATTCTGCCTGCACAATTACCCCATAATCCTTCATCTCATCTCATTTTGTTACGTACCTAAGGAAAGTATGAGATTCCATCTCTATTGTATGTATATCTCACCACTCTTTCGTTCTTTCTTTCCAACTCCCTTTCCCCGCAGCTCTTCCCTTCTAAGCCTCTACATTACCCACCACGACATCAGATTCCCAGAAAGAAAAGAAGAAGACTGCGTAGCGAAATCCTCACACATGCCAAAAAAAAAAAGAATAGAAGAAAGATCCATCAAGAACCAAGAGAATCATTTGCCCAAGAATTATACACACACACACACCAGCACTTTTCATTCTCTATTTCCCACCCCCCACAATCCTAGGCAACCCCGCCCACCCCTCCTTCCCACTAGGATTCTTCACCTTCCCAAAATNCTTTTCATTCTCTATTTCCCACCCCCCACAATCCTAGGCAACCCCGCCCACCCCTCCTTCCCACTAGGATTCTTCACCTTCCCAAAATCCCCATCCAGATCCAAAATAATCTTCAGCGCATTCCTACTCCTCAAGAAGCCAATCGGGCCCTGTTGCCCCGGCAGTCCCTCGCCAAGCTTTACACTGCCCACGCCCTGGTGCATCACTTCCTCCTTCTCGCTGCCGGGCATAGGCAGGACATTCTGCAAGAACTCATAAGCCGCAAGGGTGAAACCGAATTGCGGCGAGGATCGCAGAATACGTGCCGGTCCGCCTTTGAAGAAGGCTTTGAAGCCTTCTTCTTTGTAGACGGTTTTGGCGCAGTGACGGAGAGACGTGTAGGAACTCTCTCCCTTACGAGCTTCGACTTGGAGACGGGTTTTGATGACATCGCATGGGGTGGTGAGGTATGCAGCTGGCATACCAGCGATGGCACCGGCTGTGAGAAGTTGGAGAACACCGAGTTTCTTAGTTGGCGACTCGCCATACATGTCCCGCTTGAGATGGTTGTAAGTAGGGAAATAGATGGCAGAAAATGGAACATCTCGAAGAAGACAAGCTGAAGCACCCTTGTACAGGCCAAGAAGACCCAGGTTCTTGACGATCCACATGGCGGATCGACGAGGTGCACCTTCAACGGTCTTGGCGACCTCTCCTTGTACTTGGAGACGAATTTTGACGATCTCGAGGGGATTGGTAAAGATCTAATTGGATTGTTAGACAGACTTTTAGATTTCAGGATAGAAGCGCGACTTACAACTTGACAAGCACCTGCAGTTCCACCAGCAAGAATCTCATGCGGAATCCAAATCTTGCCATCAGCTCCAGAGAAGTGACCTCGAACAAGATCATTCACAGTCAACTTAATGGCCTTTTCTGGAGCAACACCAACAAGCTGGGGTAAAACTCCAGAATATAATCCAGTAAACCCTTCGTTCTTAATAACCTTCTTGGCGCAATCCAAAGAATTCTTGTAAAGCATCTCACCGACACGGGATGATCGTTGATTCTGCATTCTAGTCTTTACCAAATCAATTGGATAGACCATGAAAGCACCAAAAGCACCAGCAAGGGATCCAAGCCCAAAATGATGTACCGATTCTAGTATTGAGTGCATGACGTTTTGCGTTTTGGTCTTGATCTTGGTACTTGTCTGATCGAAAGCATTGTACAATGGGTCGCGCCATGAAGGATCGAGAACCTTTGCAAAATCACGAAGTCCTAAATGTCCAGAAGGTTGATCCAGACCAGCGAAATGGAACAAGATATCAGCCTCCATTGGAGTGAAAAGCGAAAATCGAGTAACTCGTGCTGCCTCATTCAAGAAATCTGTCCTGGTAATGGTTCCATCTGCACTTTTCGAAGTAGCCTGGCGAATAATTAATTCGACCAAATCCATCTCTCTAATCATGTTTTGAAATGCGCGAACATTTCCATATGAAATCTTTGTGCCTGCTGAAATATTGCAAAGAGTATGTAGATTTTCAAGAAGATGGTCAGATAGCTTGTGTTTTGCAGTCTGAAGGATAATTCGTTGGAAATCCTCTGGTTCGATAAATCCATCTCCATCCCGATCGAAATGATGGAAAGCTTGTCTTATTCTCTCGCCTTGTAGACCTCTGAGCATTTGTGAGAATTGGGGATAAGTTAGGTCGTGTCGTCGCTTCTTGCCCCCACTGTATAATGATGCCCATTCACAATCCCAGTCAAAAGGTATACTATCAGGACCCTTATTCGCTTGGTAGAGTTTCTTGAGGTGGTCATATTTTACCGTTCCCGTTCGTTCGATATCGAATAATCGAAAGGCAATTTCGTACTCGGCATCTGGTTTCGCAAGAAGATTCTCAAAGGTCCCCCAATCCATCAGGTTGACTTTACCCGTATCCCTTCGGTCTGCGACTCTAAATAGGATCGCATATTGCTCACGCTTGATTTTATGCTGTAGAAAGCAATCCCATGTTAGTCAATGGCTCGAAAACCTTTGTGCGACCATGGTATATGGTATACAAGAAAATTTTGAACTGACATAATCTTCCCCTTCGGGCGCTACAGCGTTGATGAATTCCTCCTCGCCCATGTACAACCCTCCCGTCTCTGCATCTTTCCGCGCATTTCGATCAAAGGTCGCCCTTGATTGTGCGGAAAGTTTGACGTCTTGAGGAATTTCCGAGCCAAGCAACTTTTCCTTGACCACCTCCTTCACCTTGGTAACGTCCGCCATCGTGTCCTCTACTCAGCCAAAAATCGCGGCGCACTTTCAAATCGGGTGCAATTGTTCTTTTCTCGTTTGAATCGAAGGGGTCGATCGTCGGCAGATGGAGCAGAGAGTTCGGCGGGGTTTGTTGGAGCCAATGGAGTTTTCGACAAGCCCAAACCTAGCCGCTGACAATGGATGCAGGTGTGCAGGCGCAAAAAAAGGAAGCAAGCTGCTGCAGCGGCGCAGTGCAGTACAGTATAACGTTTGCAGACGTGGAATTGAGGCGGGTTTTGGGAAGAAAATGAAGCAATTGACAATGATTGTCAGGATTACTTTCGGGACAGGGTGTCTGACAGAGATCCGGGGTAGTTCGGGAGGAAAAGGAAGCTGTATGAGCTTGGCCTTCTCGTAGCAGAAGGAGCGGAGCGTGCGTCGAGTGAGAGAAATGGTCCCTGGTCCCGTCCTGTTCGAGATTAGATTATCGTCTTCAGCTCGGAGTACACATCGGTCCGTGTTTCGTTCGTTCCACGTGAATCGCACCCTGACTCGGAGTTTCGGTGTGCACTCGGAAGTTTCCTATGCTGGTTGACTGGGTGAGGGAGGGCACTGGAGGGGTACCAACGTCATCCCGGAACATGTGTCCTAAATTGAATTTTATATTAATTTCCTGAAACAAGATGCATATCAAAAGAAAGAGTACAATTCGTTTGTTTCACCATCGTAATACCCGTTCTTCCAAATTCAGCTCATCTGATGTTTTTTCCAAAAAGCAGGTATGCCGATGGACCTGAAATACCCCTCATCTAGTCCCCAAAGTGGATCCAGCCACATGCAGGGAATATTCCACATGAAGCGGTCTAGAAAAAGCCACTTGTTCCTCGAATTTTCATCTCATGCGATTTTTCATTAACTTTAGTAATGAAAGATAAATACTATGCCTTTTCTTGCATTAATCGTCTTCCAGGACTGACTCAGTTGGTTCTCTTTGGGACTTGAAGACGACTCAGTACAAGTAAACATCCTCGTGCTTAGGTATTCTTCAAGCTAAGCTGACGAGTTCACGCGACGAAGATCCAAGTACACAAGAACAATAACAAAGACGATATCCTCATTCCCTGACATGCTTGATTCCACAACTTGGTTATCCAAACAAAAGAGAATATCAAAAATTGTGGTTATGAAAATTGACATTCTGGTCGAACTACAGTAGCTAGCTAAGAGAGTCTCGGACTCAACCTCGACGTACTACCCAGATCTGTAGATACATGCCACTGCTTGGACCACTATCACATGCTAGCGTATGTACACCATAATGACTCTGTTTTCTGAAAAAAGAATACGGTACAAGGAAACACGTGAAGCTTAAAAATAGTCGCGGCTACTTTTTGAGTCTACATAGTGTTACTCAAGTAATATCGCAGTTTGGTCGGAACTGCATTCTTCTGGATGAAGGAATCTGAAATCTATAGCGCGGTATATAGCAAAGCAGAGAATTCGATGTCTTAAACACTGCGAGTTAAGTGGCTGTCTAACACCCCAATACGCCAACTAGAAATGTGTAACATACGAAAAATTGGGTATGGAGGTCGAGGGTAAGGAGTAGGTAAGTTCTTTGCTTTCTTTATGTTTGCCCCATTTAGCGTTTTATTAGTAAGTAGTAGTATATTTCAAATTTCTCATGTTTTTATCCCATTATGCATCCTATATATCTTGTAAGTGATACCTCTCTTTCCTTCTATGATTCCGTCCGAATATTTCATGGGTTCATCTACTATATCAATAACTCTTTGTTAACTATTGAGGATTTTAACATTCCCTTTCAGCCTCTACCTAAGCGCAGTAAGATACACACAAACCAAACCACCAATCCTCGTCCTTCCCTTCTCCCGTCACTTCAGATTCCAGGTCAAGATCAAATTCCACTTGAAGTCTGAGGTGGAGTATTGTGAGGGTAAAGCAGTATACGTAAGCTGGTAGTAGATACACAGCTCCGCAATTTCCAATTATGTGATCTTGTCACTTACGATTCCCTCCTTATCACTCTACACTACAACCACTATCCCCACCCCACTACCCAAACAAAAAACATCACCAACACCAACACCTCCTCAAAACCCCCAACCCCTCAAATCCCCCAAGTTCCCAACAAAACCCACAACAAAACAATAATTCCTCACCAAACTACCTATCCTTAGTAAGCTAGCAGAAGGGCCACTCCCCCCTACCTATATCCAAATCAAATCCCTACAATTCTTCCCCTCCTTCCTTCGTATGCTATCTCATATACCCCTAAGCTCCCTTTATCTAGTAAAGAAAAAGAGAAATGTAACTAAACCATCCATCACACCCCATACCCCATACCTCATCTAACCCCTACACAAAACCCACCTTCCCCCCCTTTCCCCCCAC